TTAATTAAAAAAAAAAAAAAAAAAAAATCTCACCGTAATGGGACAGAATGTGATGTTTCAAAGCGCCCTTCAGATGGAACCGGTGCTTGCAGATGTCGCACTCGAACCTTCTCACCCCTGTGTGCGTCAACTTGTGCGTCTTCAACACGGAAGATCTCTTGAACTTGGCGGGGCAGAGGTCGCACTCGAACGGCGAGTCGGCTGTGTGAACGATCATATGCGCCCTCAGGCTGCTCGGCCTGAGGAATCTCTTCTTGCAGATCGAGCACTCGAACGGCTTCACGTTGGTGTGCATCAGCTTGTGATCGCGCAACGACTGCCGGTGGAGCAGCTTCTTCTTGCAGACACCGCACTCGAACGGCCTTCGGCTCGAGTGCACCTCGGCCTGGTGCATCCTCAACTGGTCCCTCTGCTGGAATTCGAGCCGGCCGATAATTGATTACGGTTTTGCGGAAAGAAGAACCGGTGTCTCGATCTTGTTTCCGTTTCTCTCGAGAGTTTTTTTTTTTATCGGAGATATAGAAAGAAAGAGAGAAAGATATATTGAATACCTGAAATCGAAGGCTGCAGTGCCTGCATATGAACGCTTTGAACGTCTCGTGAAGACGAAGGTGGTCCTTCAGCGCAGACGACCTTTGGACAAATAAATATATCGTGATTCGATTATGTTTGAAAAATTGGGGATATCGAGTTAAAAGATTGAAACAAAGTGGAATAAGCGACAGATTATTCGTATTAATACATTTCTCGGATAATCAAATCGATTGATCTGATTAATCTAATAAGAAAATAATAATAATACGGAATAATCTCTGTACGAGTAATTATAAAACAAGGGAAGATTTTTCGAAAACGTCGTACCGTGAAAATTGTTTCCTGCAGATACCGCACTGGAACAATTTTCCATGGCTGTGCCCCACCATGTGCGTTTTGAACTCCGCCTCATCAGGGAACTCGATCCTGCACACGCTGCAGATCAATCGTTTCCCTGTAGTCAACGCCTCTATGTACTCCTCGAAATCCACATATTCGTCCAGATTCATCTCTTTCTTGATCGGGGGGCAACCTCCCCTTCCCTTCTGCCCCCTCTTGTGCCTCTTCCTCCTCGCCTCGCTCTCGTAAGCGTCGTCAATGTCGAGCTCGTCGTTAGCCGAGAAATTCTCGATCTCGTCGAGCACCTCGGTCTTGATTTTCACCTTGGCCCGAGGAACAAAGTCGGTTATGATTTTCAGATTTATGATCCCTAGAGCGAAAAGGCGTGGCCGGTCTCGTGGACGTATATCGCGGGATATTGGATAATTTCGCGGCCTCTTCCGCGATGAAACGAGCGGTCTCACGCGGCTGATGTACTGCCGATGTGCTCGGTCTTAAATTACGAAAGAAGGAAAAAAAAAAAGAAAGAAAGAAAGAAAGAAAGAAAGAAAGAAAAGGGAAGAAGAGAGAGAGAAAAGGAGAGAGAGGGCGGGGTAAAAGGGAAAAACGTTGCGTCGTATACTTTTTGTTTGGAAATATTGGTTACAACTTTTATATAATCGATTATGCAATTCGCAGATATTGCGATATATATATGTATAACTGGAGGATAAAGAATCGAGTTACGGGCTAATAAA